CAGCACTGGAAAAAAAAAAAACTCACCTAGTTCATCTTTGTATTGTAATATTTTTTTAAAATCCAGTTCTTGAGTGAGAAAATCACAAAAAGCACAAGAGGACTTCAGAAAGTTCAGGAAGTTTATTTTGATGCCAAAAATTTTGGAAACCCAGACATAGTTTTTCCATACCACACACTTTTTGTGAACTTTTTAAAAACATTTTTATTTTACAAAGTCAGATATACAGAAAGGAGGAGAGACAGAGAGAAAGATCTTCTGTCTGATGATTCATTCCCCAAGTGAGCACAAGGGCCAGTGTTATGCCGATCCGAATCCAGGATTCGGGAACTTCTTCCGGGTCTCCTACACGGGTGCAGAGTCCCAAGGCTTTGGGCCGTCCTCGACTGCCTTCCCAGGTCACAGGCAGGGAGCTGGATGGGAAGTGGAGCTGCCAGGATTAGAACCGGCGCCCATATTTATCCCGGAGCGTTCAAGGTGAGGACTTTTAGCCACTAGGCCATGCCACCCTTTCTGTGAACTTTTACAAGACTCTTCTATGATAAATTTTAAACAATCTTTGCGTTGCTCCCTGCTAACAGCCTGGGAAAAAGCAGTAGAAGATGGCCCAAGAGTTTAGGACCCTTCCACCCATGACACAGACCCAGATGGAACTCCTGACTCCGGACTCCTGACTCCTGGCTTTGGCCCAGCCCAGCCCTGACCATGGCTGCTACCTTGGGGAGTGAACCAGCGGATAAAAGATCTCTGTCTCTCCATCTCCCTCTTTGCTTCTTCCTTTCTCTCTGTTCCTGTGACTGAAAAAAAATTTCTCCATTAAATTTTTCTCCATTAAAAAATTTCTTCATTCTCTCTTTTACTCACATTTTCTTGCAGACTTTTTCGAGTATTTTGTTTGCTATCAACCAGGTAAATCATTAATGTTTCTACACTGTGTTATTTAAGTATGACACAATTTGGTTGTGTAAGCATTAAAGAATCCATGCTACCTTAACTGACTCTCATCCTCAACACATTTTACATACGAAGTTTCTCATATCACAGACCAATGGAATCCCATGATTCACAAAGCTTATATGCAGGGCCAAACTAATCTGTTTATTCATATGAGGTCCATCCTTGGTATTTCCCACTGATATCACCCCAGAAGATCACCTGATCATTCAGTTGGGAATTGAAGCTAGAACTCTGGATGCTATGAGTCAAAGGTATTTGGAAACATATCCACATCCACCCATTATTGGGCCTGGTAAATCAGAGTCTCTTGGATTAGAGCATAAGAATAAAAAAATAAAAAAAGAAAAAAAGAAAATGGTTTCATAATGTGAGAAGCAGAGAAATAACACCAGAGAGAGCTGATCCACTGGTTCACTCTACCAAATGGCCATAACAGCCAGAACTGAGCCAGGAACTTCATTCTGGAAGCAGGCACTTCAGCCACCCTTGCTGCTCTTCTACGTGAGTGTCAGCAGGAAGCAGGAGCCAGGACCACTCCTGAGATGACCAATGCCATCTCAGCCAGATACTTAACCCTAGGCCAAATGCCCACCCCAACAAGCAGGGATTTTTTTTTTAAGTCTCACAGCAATTTTATCACGTGGCAGAGTTAAGAGCCACTGCCATCAGGAGAGAGCAATTACTGGGAAGCTAGGATGGCACTCTGGTTGCCCCAGCCATGGCCTGAGCTACTTGGAGGCAGAGCCTCGGAACAAGGAAGCCTCCCTCACATGAACTGCTTTACCAAGGGGAAAGCAGTCCAATAGCAAGGTTATTGAGTGGTAATCGCACCCTTTCCGAAACCCTGGCAAAACCTGCCCCCTGTCCAGCAGTGAAACTCAAATAAAGGCACTGCATTTTTCAAGTTTTTCCATATAATTTTAGAGATATGAGTCAAAGGGCCAGTGCCATCACTGGCTTAGCCTCCATCTGTAGCACTGTCATCCCGTAAGGCTTTCAGTTTGAGTCCTGGCTACTCAACCTCCAATTCAGTTTGTTATGGCCTGAGGAAGTAGCAGAGGATAGTTCAAGTCCTTGGACTCCTGCACCCACATAGAATACCCAAAGGAAGCACCTGGATCCAGGCTTCAAATCAACCCAGCGTGGGCCATTGCATCCATTTAGGGAGTGAGTTAGCAAATGGAATGTGTCTTTCTGTCTCTCTTCTCTCTGTAACTTTGCCGTTCCAATAAAAATAAATAAATCGTTGAAAAATAAAATTTTAAAAATGAATATGAATCAAGAAAGGGGAATCCTACAAAAAATCATGTTAATGTTATTTATTACTTAGTGTATATTTAATGTAATACTTTGGCAATAATATGATTCATGCTCATGCATAGACCTATTCATACAGTTAATTCACTGAGCTCCAGCTGAGTGCCGGGAGTTCCCTAAATCACCGAGGAAATAACAGTCATGCAAGAGGGTCATGTTCCTCAGCAGGGAGAACTTGTACTAGGTAATGGCAGGATGCAGGCTGCCAAGAAAGGAAAGTGAGGAGCACTTTAGAACTGCACAGCAGGGGTCTTTGCCTGCAGTGTGTCCCGGAAGACTCCTCTTAGGCAGTGAGAAGGAGAAGCCTTGCTTCTTGCAGGCATTCATAGAGCCTACTGAGACACTGGATTTGTCCACCATGGTCGTTGTTACCAGAACTAATTCCTTCAGTTTCAGATTAAGGGCTCTGGTCCCTGAGCCTCGTGAAGGTCACTTCTGTTCCAGGGGTCACATTGGCAAGACTGCATTTGCATAAAGATGGGCTCAGTGCCTCTCTCTTCCTTGTGAATAAGTAACAAGCTGTTCAGTACATCATGTGTGTGCCTTTCCGCAAGCCTAAAACGTGGTGATTGATAGAATCTGGTGTTTATTTGTCCCCTCTGTAACCTTGGATTAAAGTCACTGAAATGTTTGACCTAAGCATCAAAGGAGTGGCACGCACATGCCAGGGGACATGGACCAGGAAGGTGGGTATAGATTCCGAGCAGGGGGCTGGCGTAAGGATTAGACAAAGACACCAGGAACTGACAGCAGCTTTTACAGGAGGGTATGCAAGCAGTCAGAGCAGCAGAGAGGGAGAGAGAGAAGTCTGCCATGGAGGACAGCCTCAACAGGAAGAAGGACAAGAAAGATTGTCTAAGAACTAACTGCTAAACAACAAAGAAGAATGGATGCTGATCGTAGGGACTCTTGGGTTGTGCCATTAATGCTGAGGGTACAGTTCTAGCTTGGAGGTGTCTGCTCATAGATAAGTTCCTTGTATTCCTTGGAAAGTTCCTTGTTTTCGTCCTGTGACTTTGCTCTTTGTAAACTGCCTGTGTGCACGTTAATTCTAAGATGCCTTATGAGGTGTTACTGCCATCAGTGTATTGATAAAGAAGACACTGAACATGAAAACCCAAAACACAAAGTCACTTCAGAAACAGAAGCAAACTTTAAATGTGTGAGCTCCAAACCCAGTCATTTGAAATGTCAAACTACAGTACAACAGGGCTCTGAATTTGCCTCAATATATATGTGATGCTGCCTATCTCTTGTGATTCCCCTAAGCTTTTGGAGATTTATTTCTTATTATCCCCTTGCTTTTCTGCTTGGCTTCTAAATATTTATCCTAGGGCCAGGTAAGCCACAGCTTCCAATGTCAGCATCTCATGTCAGAGCACCAGTTGGAGTTTCACCTGTTCTAACTTCCAGTTCAGTTCTCTACTAATGCACTTGGAAAAGCAGCAGAAGATAGCCCTGGTACATGGACTCCTGCCACCCATGTGGGAGACCTGGATGGAGTTACTGGCTCCTGGCTTCAATCTGGCTCAATTCTGGCCATAATGGCCATTTGAGGAGTGAACCAGTGGATAGAGTGTATCTTTCCCTGTCTCTCCCTGTCATTCTTTCTTAACTTGTTGTTTATTTGAAAAAAACAGAATAACAGTAAGAGGAGAGACCTAAAGACAGAGATCTTCTGTCAGCTAGCACATTCCCCAAAAGACTGCAGTAGCCAGCGCTAGATCATGCCAAAGCCAGGAGCCAGGAACTCGATCTGAGTGAGTGACTGGGAACCAAGTACGCTTGGGCCTTCCTCTTCTGCTTTCTTAAGGATATCAGCAGGGAGCTGCATCAGAATTGGAACAACTGGGACTGGAACTGATACTCCAGTATAGGATGCTGGCAGCATCACAGATGGGTGTTTTACCCACTGTGTCACATTACCAGCCCCTCTGCCTTTCAAATAGATGAATGCATTTACAAAAATAAATATTTTCACTGTTACATTTATATCTTCCAGTATACCTATATATTAAATACAGCTTTGGTTTTTTTTTTTTCTATCTGATTTGAAATTCAGTATCACCAGCATCTTGTAGTATGTATTTTTCCCCTTTTAACTTTGCGTGCCATGGAAAGAGATATTTTACTGAAATCCCAAGAGCTAAAGACATTGCTGTCCGGTCATGTTCTGCTGGGAGTGTTATTTGCAGTAAGAAGTACACTATTTAAGATTCTTCCCTTTCCTCTCACTTTAGAAAATCAGGCAGAAAAAAAATGGATTAATTTGACAGATGGCAAAGAACAAGAAAAATATTAGAAACAAGAAAGGCCATTTTTCCTATAGAGGCTCATTTCATTCTATCTACCACTTCCCTGGGATATCTGCCAATTGTTAGCAGAAAGAGTAATGCGATCCATTTTTTAAAATTTCACTCTTGAGTATTATGGAGATAAATAGCTAAATGAGGGAGAAATAACTTTCTTTCACGGCAGTAGTTTAAGAGGGGTAAAGGGAGCGCAAATGCAGATAACATTTGATGACATGAGAAAACTCAACCATGAATGAAAAATGAGCTATTTCGGTAGGTGCATGATTTTGCATCCACTCTAGAGCGCTGTGCCCATCTGTGAAAAGTGGGGGAGCTCAGTGTGGGGACCAGTGGATTGATTTGCTAGCCCCAGGAGTTTCCCAATTCAAAGTGACACCTCGGAAAACAAGCCTGTGTGCTGTGTTGCTGCAGGGCCAATGCAGGAGACCATCTATGACTTCTGGAGGATGGTGTGGCATGAGAACACCGCCAGCATCATCATGGTGACCAACCTCGTGGAAGTGGGAAGGGTAAGTGGGCTGGCCACCGCAGGTGGCACTTCACTCTCTTGCGTGGGTGGCAGCAGAAAATGAGGCACAAGCCCGGCTTGTACTCTGTAGACCCTGAAAAGCAGTCGCTTCTCTAGCCCCTCCTAGGGCTCACTGCACTTGCTTGTAAATCAGCAGTAAGCATAAGCTTGACTTGCTTTCATTGGTTGCGATAGCAACAGACAGGAGAGGCACTCAAGATTTAAACGCGGTTGTTGTCTGGTTATACCGAGCACATGAAAAATACCTCCGAGCATGGGTGCTGGCTGTTGGGCATCAAAACTCAAGGAGTGCTACATTAAACATGTCTGCATTAACTTCAGCAACACCAACTGAAACCCCCATGTCCGGCACCACATTGCATTTTTTTTAATTGGATTGAAATTCCAACAACTTCTCTTGCCTAGATTGAACTTGCCTGTACCTCAGTTTCCTGTGCAAGAGAAATTGTAAGCTTCCCTGAAGGTCTTGCATTACTTTCTTTGTGGTGACTGTGTAAGCTATTTTGGCTTAACCACAGAGCTGCTCTATGTGGCTGCAATCTCAATAGTGGTATAATATAGGATTTCTTTCCAAGTGAAACAAAAAATCAGATATTCAGGGTGCAGTTGCTGTGTTGTAAGTTCAGTTCCATAGTTGTGCTCAACTCAAGAGATGAACACGTCACTCCTCAATGTTGTGAGATCTGCCCTCAGTGGAGGCAGCTGGAGGGTGGCCGAATTCAAATACGGGGGAGCTGTCTCTGGAAGACATTGACAATGCTCTTGCAGTGAGGAGATCCTTAGTAAGTGGGAAACAGGATTCTAGCAAAAACAGTGGACCAAGAAACCTCAAAATCCTTCTACAAACATCTAGAAATTCTATATATGTGTTAATATTTGCCTATACCACATGTTTCCGTAACTAGGAGAATTCTTCATGGAAAATGTGTGTTTTGAAAAAACTAAGGGTGGATTTCAAACTTGTTTCATCCCAAAATATATCTTTTCATGCCATTTCCTCATGGACCTTCTGTAGTGTCCTCATATATGTTAAAAATGGTTAGCCTCGCCCGAGAGAGGAGAGCAAAGGACAAGAGTAGCAGTAGAGAGCAGGGGGCCTACGCAGGAGTGGACGGGTCCTTCCCGGTGAGTAGTGGGCAGCTCAGCCATCACTGTCTTGGATTGAGGGTTTTAAGCCCCACATGACTTAGGACATGGGTGATAATCCCTTCTATTAACTCCTGGAGCAAAGTGAATCACCTAATATGAATCGGAAACTACTTAGAACTGTGCTGGGCCAAGTCTCATATGCAGTCTCAGCTCTCTCTGCCCCTGTATTCCTCATCTGGAGATTCAATCAGTCCTGGATCAAAAAATTTGAAAAAACATTCTCTCCTCACTGAACATAGGTGGATCTGTTTTTTCTTGTCACTGTGGCCTGTATGGTAGAACAGCTAGAGCACGTGCCATTTACACTGTGTTAGGTATTGTAAGTCATTCCGGAGATCCTCAAGTGGCTATGGGAGGGTCTGGGTAGCTTCTGTACGGATATTCTGCCATTTGATACAAGGGACTAAAGCATTCCCCAATTTTAACACCCTCAGGAGTCCTGATAGACCTAAAAGACAAATGTGTTAAACTTGTAGGTTGCAAATAAATAAAATTAAACCTAGAAAGAAATGCATATTCTGCAAGTTGTTATTAGCAAGAAGGAAAAGTGGTGGTTTAATCCAGGAAAGTAGATGGAGAATGGAGGAAAAGCAAAGAAGGAAAAAGGGAAATAATAAATGTGAGTACAGATGTACTCAATGAAAACTCAAGAAACAAGAGTGAAAAAAAAATAAAAACTCTTCTTGTGAAAAAGCTAGTGAAACAGACGAACTTCTAGCAAGTGATCAGAAATAGAAGCAGGAAAATTTACATATAACCAACATTAAGAAAGGGTAGTGCTTTTTTATCACTACAGAATAATAATGACATTAATTTGATTCATTATGTAAGTTCATTTAAATATGACCATTCAAACCTGATTGAAAAATAAACACAATCTGAATAAGTAGTAAATTATTTAAAACTTTAGTTGTGGTCTAACAAGTTCACTTATGAAAAAGAGCACCAGACCATATGTATCTGTAAAGATATGAAATACTCAAGGAATAGGCAGTTACAAATTTTACAAATATAACTGGAAAAATAAATTTTGTATTTCCTATAAAAATTCTCACACAAAAAGACTGCTCTCCCACTTTAAGAGATAATATATTCTCTATATTAGAGCCAGACGAGGAATATCCGCAAAAGGAAAAATTGCGGTCCTTCCAATTGATGGGAAGAGCAGTGGATAGAAGCAAAGAGCCCAATTGTGGGTTTTTGTTATTAATGACCAAAGTCCAAACATGCATAAAATGCGGCTAACAGGCTGGGAGCTCAGTTCTTTGCTCACATAGACCTGGCCTTCTGCTAAGGTAACCAGACTTGTGGAAGCCCAGCTGTTGACCTCACACCTATGTGGAATGGTGAGTCATTGATATGTATGTGGATGTGAACTTGCCATACACATCCAACAGGTCTCTTCTCATAAGACATTCGAGAATGCAAACCAGGTAAAGACCTAAGCACTTGTATAACAAATAAAGCATTTAGTGGAAAACATGAGATCAGATACTTATGATGTTTGTTCTTTTAAGGTTATTTCAGAAAATCTAAATCCTACATATTTTAAGTATCAGAAAAATGTGGCTCTATCAAAATGTAAATTTTTCTGTAAAAACTTTAATAAGTAAACTAATGGAGTGAATATACTACAGAACCTTGTAGCAAGCACAAATTTGAGCAATGTTTTGTGTACTCAAATTATAGAAGCTATTTCTGTTTTCTCTGCTGGGAGCCCTGGGGGAGCACATCTGAGCTGGCTCCAAGCCGGGGGCAGCAGCCACCTGCAGCATGGCCGGCCTATAGGAGGGAGCTGAGTTGAGGCTGGAAAGACCAGGTCAAGTTCTAAAAGGATTCCGTTTCGGGGGAGGTCCCTCTTCCAGGCTTTGAAGCAGCCGCCTTCTCACTGTGACCTGACATGGTGGGGAGAAAGCAAACCTCTGTATGCCTCCTCAAAAGGACACTAAGCCTGTTGGATTGAGGCCACACTGTTATGGCCTCCTTCAAACTGAGTTACTTCTCAACAAGTCTGATCTGCACCATCCCCACACCTGGAGGTTAGAGTTTCATCCTTCTAACCTATGGATTTTGAGGGTGAACTGATATTCAGTCTATTTCAAGTCACTTCACAGGGGTCCTGAAAAGGTTAAATGTGCTTCTGCATGTTTGGCAATTAGGAAATAAATCTTCCACCCTAAGAACTCACACAGGAATTACTATAACATTTATGTTTCCACCAGCAAACCCCAAGTCCTGCAGTGATGTACACAATTATCTATTTTTACTTTTCACCTCTTTCTGCTATGAAAGCAATTGTGACTATTGGGAAAATGATTGTCAACTCCATCACTCAGCAAGCTACTGGAAGGGAAGAGACAGCCTTCCTTATTGACCTTGAACTTCCAGCACAGTACTGGGCCCTCAGTAAATACTGAGTATGTCAGAGTATAGTGTCACAGATTGAAGAGCACCTTCTAGCTTAACTGTTGCACAGCCAACTTCAAGTTTTCCTCTGTTTTCATGCAGTTTCTTTACATAAAATGTATACTCCTTTGTGAATCCCTTCAGTCATTTCACAAAATTTGTACATTGCTCTCTTAGGATGAAAAAAGAGTTGTCTATGGATAGCACACATGGTGCCTTACAGCAGTAGTCTCTCCTTCCTTGAGGGATACGTTCCGTGACTTCCAGTGGATGCCTGAACCCCTGCACGTAGGCAAGCACTGGGATACCTTGACAGTTGATCTGACAACCACAGCAGCTACTAAGGAACTAATGAGTGGGTAGCGTATACAGCTTGGATACAGTGGGGCAAAGGGAAGACTCCTGTCTCAGGCTAGGTGTCATGCCATTTCATGACATACAATGTGAAACTAAGAAACCATTTGTGGAATTTTCTGTTTATTCTTTTCAGACTACAGTAGCTGAAATCATAGAAAACCGAAGGATCAGAGAGTTTACTCTACTTTCACAATAAATGAATACCAGGAAAGTTAGACACCACCTTGGACTTTGAACATTTGCGTGGGAGATCACTTACAAGACATTCTTAGGGCCAATTATTTTGAACAGTAGATGATTGTTAAAATAGCAACTACTTTTGCATTTGTTTAAATAAGGGCATCTTTATAGTTTTGCATACTTGCAATTCCAAGCTACATTACATGCAGACTCAGAGACTTTGGAAATGAAGATGCTTCTGTTTAAAGATTTGTTGATTTTTATTGAAAAGTCAGATCTACAGAGAGAAGGAGAGACAGAGAGAAACATTTTCCATCAGCTGGTTCACTTCCCAAGTGGCTGCAATAGCCAGAGCTGAGCTGATCCAAAGCCAGGAGCCAGGGATCTCTTCGAGGTCTTCCAAATGCATGCAGGGTCTCAAGGCCTTGGGCCATCCTCGACTGCTTTCCCAAGCCACAGGAAAGGAGCTTGAAGGGAAGTGGAGCAGCTGGGACACAAACCAGCATCCGTATGGGATCCCAGCCTGTGCAAGGCAAGGACTTTAGTCACTGGGCTACCATGCTGGAGCCAAAATGAAGGTACTTTTATGTAATGCACCCTTTTATTTTAAGGTAAAAACTTAAAGAAGAAGAGAAAATTTTTCTGAAAAATATAGTAAATAAGAACAACAATACACTAAAACCAACTGTCTCTTGGATGCGGCACATCTTGCAGGGAGCTAAGTTTCATCTCAGCAGACACAGTTCTGGAAAAACGAAGAATATGTGGGCCGTGTGGTGGAATCGCCCTTCCTGCAGGCATTCAGCGTGGTCCTTTACAGTGTGGTCCATGTTGATGTGTGGTGGCAGCTGTCCCTTCTGACACAACACTGTGGAAATTTGAGCCAAC